TAGAGGTTGCTAATATGATGAGAGCAACACCAAACATGATCAATCTGGGAGGGTTGAGTGATGAATATTGTCTGTCAATCTTCAATCACATGGCCTTTTCGGATAGGGATGGACACGAGTCTAAGGTGTTTGGAGATATTAGTAAGGAAATTGTAAAGAAGTGTAAAGGTTTGCCTCTTGCTGCAAAGACTTTAGGTAGTCTCATGCAGAATAAGAGAACGAAAAGAGAATGGAAAGAAGTTTTGAATAGTAAGATATGGGATCTAGAGAAGGTCGAGCAAGAAGTTTTCCAACCCTTATTACTAAGTTATTATGATTTGTCCCCAACAATTAAATGTTGCCTTTTATATTGTGCTACTTTTCCTAAAGATTACACGTTTGAACGAGATCGTTTGATTGAACTTTGGATGGCACAAGACTATGTTATTTCGAAATGGAATAAACAAAAGGGAACAACGGGTGATGTAGTTTTTGACAACTTAGTGGCACGGTCATTTCTCCAAGATTTTCAAAAAGATCCAGACACTGGTACCATTACATGGTGCAAAATGCATGATATTGTGCATGACTTTGTACAATTTCTCACCAAGAATGAGTGTTTGATTATGGATCACTCAGAGTGTACTACTAGCAAATCAAAGTTATTGGGTGATAAGATTCGTCATTTGACCTTGAGATATGTTCATGATGGTCTACTTCCAATTTCTATCTCATCTACAATTGCCAAAAGCTTCGCACGCTTGCAACTTTTGATTCAAGAATTACTAAAATAGACTCAAATTTAATTTTACAATTGAAATGTCTTAGGACATTAAATTTGAGTGGTAATTCCATCAAAGAACTCCCAGAGGAGATTGGTGAATTGAAACATTTGAGGCATATTGATTTGTCTTACAATAGTTATTTGGAGAAATTACCTGACATGTCCGGTGCCGTTCCCCAAAGGGATAGGGAGATTAACAAGTTTACAAACACTAGATTTGTGTCACTGTGATGGCAACAACGATGAAGCATTCCAAATTGGGGATCTGAGAAACTTGAACCTTGAGGGACGTCTCATAATACGACTTGTGGGGGATGCGACAGATAAGAGCGAGGTTGAGAAAGCACAATTGTGGGACAAAAAGCTATTTCATCTCACCGTTCATTTTGAAAGGCAGACGAACAGTAGTAGTAGTAGTGTAGAAATACTGAATGCCTTGCGACCGCATCCAGATTTGGAATCTTTAAACATTTTGTATCATTATGGCACCACGTGGGCCAATTGGATTCAGTCTTTAAAAAATTTGAGATTCCTTACTGTTGTTGCGGGGACACAGTGTGAACTTTGGCCTCTTGGGAAATTGGAGTGCCTTGAAACACTGACCCTAGCCGAGATGAAAGGAGTGAGAAAGGTCGGTGTTGAATTTTTGGGATTAGAAGATCAAACCTCATTCAGAATCAGATCACCACCCCTGATATTATTCCCAAAATTGAAACAACTCAACTTTCACCAAATGTGGAATTGGGAAGAGTGGGAAGGCGTGGAAGAGTGGACGAAAGAGGATTCTGAAATTACAATCATGCCATGCCTTTCTAAGTTAGACATGGAGTGGTGCCCTTTACTACAAGCACTGCCAGACTTCCTCTTCAGAACACCACTGCAGACTCTTCGCATCGGTGGATCTGAGAGACTTTTAGAGCGTTACCAAGAAGGCAATGGAGAGTGGGCCAAGATTTCTGCTACGAACCCAAACATCCGCATTATCAGGTAATTGAGCTCTAGCAATCTCTTAATTATTTACATACTTATGTATGAATTCCAACTATCATCATAAATTTTGTGAACACCTTATTTTTAAGGTATATATAACTAATCTACTGTTGTATTGATGATTTGCAAAACTTTCTTTGTGTCATTAATTCGTAAAATATACTCTGAGGAACTACCTACTTTAGTAGGTCTAGATTGATTAATTTCTGTTGAATTCCTTTCGTTACTGGGCTTGGGCCCCCATTTATCCCCCAAAAAAAAGGTGCTTTGATGTTTGTTTTGTTAAATCTCTGGAGTTAATTTTCAATTAGCTAGTATTAATAAATTCATTTACTTATTATGCCACACGAGGTTTCTTGTTTTGTTTAATCTGCATGCTTTAGTTGTTGCTCAAAAAATTTAATTCCCGAATTGAAAAATGTCTAGGAGAAATTATTGCAAGAAGCAAATTAATTGATCAACTATGTATGTGTCATCATTTCAGGGACTCTACTGTAGTCGGCCTACGGAAGTTCCAAAAAGTGAAATTTTGATTATTTTCACCACTCGCTAGGTATATTTCTTCCTGCTAAATTGTTCGCATATATCATCATTTTTCTATAAAGAGGATTTTTCAAATGAGTATGAAAGGTACTTTCCTTTTTATGTTTTGTACAAAAAGTAAAACTTATTGTTCGCATTCCTCTTGGCCAGCTGCAGTGCTTTGACGTTTGTTTTGTTAAATCTCTGGATTTTAGAGCATCAAGGGAACTTGTCCTGCTTTGTTTGACTGATTTCGATGAAGCTTTTACCTAAAATGAGTAAGTTTTTTCATCAGTATGTGAAGTAATCCTATGTAATTTAAATAAATGCTTGTATTTGTGATTGCTAGTTGTCAAATTCTAATGTCACTAGGTCTCCTATCAAATTTTCATGGCACAGGATTTTCTTTTCGTAGTTACTGGAGCTCTTTTCGTGGCATGGGAGGGAGGGAAGAGTGAATATGACCCCAAGTTTCATTTTAATTCACCTTCAAGTGTCATCAAGTTGCTCAAAGGCTATATGAGGTTTGTTGTTTTGTTTAATCTGCATGCTTTAGTTGTTTCTACTCTTTCCGAAAAGTGTGAGGCTCTCTCTGTAACTGGACAAGCAGTTTCTACTCTTTCCTTCATTATAATACCGTTCATCATTTCAGGGACTCTATGGAAGCAAACAGAGTGGCGTAAAGCATCAAAGTCAGTCTACGGAAGTTCCAATAACTGAAATTTTGATCATTTTCGTCAAAAGTCAGCCTTGAGAAGTTGACAGAGACATGATGAATTTCGAAGGTCTACTGAGCTTTTGATTTACAAACATTGATGAGTACCCTTATTTTTTGTTTTGTAAGCAGAAACTTCGTGAACACCTTATTTTTAAGGGACAGGCAACATCGACTGTATATATAACTAATCTACTGGTGTATTGATCATTTGCAAAACTTCCTTTTTGTCATTAATTCGTAAGATGTATTCTTGAGGAACTGGTGAATTTACTTTGGCTCTCTTATTTTATTGTGTATCAGTTCCCAGTTTTTGCTGTTCCTCTAGAAGGTGTGTTTTGTTTGCCTTGGGTAACTTTGATTTGGTGTGTGTCGTTAATATCGTTAACCTTGCCTTAAACAAGCAATTCATAAAAGAAGAGGTAACTTGTTTTCAACGTGAAGAAAGAAGTTGAACAATAAGTTGGCAATCTCAAAGCTATTCAAGCTGCGCGCGCTTAAGGATGCAGAGCAAATTGTATACAACTTATTCACCTGCCCCTGAATGCCACCTGCAGTTTGAACAGCAGCTCCTTCAAATCAAGCTATTTCGAGATCTGACTTTAACGTATCTTTTACAAGTGCATTGTTCTTGAAGATCTTGCAGGGGTGACCAACTAAGTTTGAGGTTTCTTCACTATTCGTGATGCGTGGTTGAACTCAAGCACAACTGCAGTTGCTGTGATCCTAAACTGCGCCTGCTAGACCAAAGAAAGTAGCTTAGGAATGAAGAAAAAGGTATAAACATAAAATTCAAAAAAGTTAAATGAAAGAGAGAAATAAATAACGCACACATGGGAACGAGAGAGGTGGCACTGAAAGTAGACTATTTGACCACTTTCTTTTTATCAACAGTAATTTAACGGAATGGACAATATTAGCTAACAGAGTAAAACACAATGAACAAATCGGCCAAATGGAAAACACGGTGACTAAATTGGCCAAATGGGTCAAACATATGGACAATTTTAACATTTAAGCCTTCTTAAAAACTAACAATTTTGAAAGTAAGAGGTAAATTTTGGCTATTTTTGAAAAACAATCAAACTCAATGTGTTTATTCTCTTAACCGGCTGAACCCAAATCTTCCTCTTTTGTTTAAAACCACTTTTCATCTTGATATTTAAATTTGGAATCCAACTAGTTAGTTTTGACTTGGAGACAGATATTCAAAAGGGTCCCAATGGCTTGACCTTGATTTGTTCAAGCCACCTATTGAAGCTAGCCTTGTGACTTTGGGTCTGCATCAAACTTTGTCCAAGCAGCCACCGCTCCAAGTAAAAGAATGATGCGTCTTTTCAATTGCAACACAATTCATTCGAGAAGACATAAGGGAATTCAAGCATCAGAATCATCACAAGTCACTACATACGTAGCCCCACAATGAGCTGTTTGATGACGTTCGTATGTACATGGGTGCTGATTTATTTGTACTTCTAACAACTATTAGTAATGTAATTTCAATAACAACCCGGACCTAAAGAGCTTGAAAAGTGTGATTCAGATGTAAGTTCAATAACAATAAGCACGTAATTGCAAACATCATCAAACGTCTCAATGTCTTGTCTTTGGGTTCCTACTAAATGTATAAAACCCCAATTGGGGTCTTCCATTCATTTCCAGAGCAAAAAAGTAAAAAACCAAAACCCTTACAGAGCAAAGGCCAAGTGCAAGATAACATGCCTGCTCAACCTCCCACAATTCCTCTCCATACTCCTTACAAAATGGGAAAGTTCAACCTTTCTCATAGGTACTTAAATCTCTTGTACATTGCATTATTGATTAGATATTGCTGCAAGCTGGCGATCTGTTTTTCTAAATCTGTATCTTGGGTCATTTTGTTGTCGCACAAATCAGCCATGGCATGACCTTGTTCTGCTTAAAATGGGGTTGTCGGTACCACCATGCCCATTAGGAGTCCACTACTTGTCCAAACCATGTATTGTCCCGACCTTAACCACCTAGGTACAATTAGGAGAGTATTCTCCAATGTGGGACATACACATCATGACTTGTATTGAGCCACCTACACCAACGATCTCCATCTTAGCGAGATCTAAGTCAAGGTAACCCACCCATTACAACACTCTCACTTTTCAAAGATGGCACGATCCCACAACTCCACCTCTTCCGACAAGGATTTCTTGAGCCTCACTAGGAGCTTTTGCCCCACATGCACAAACAGTTTAGTCCACTTAGAAGTTAGAGGCAGGCGTTTGTGGAAAATCCGAGTTGGCTAACAAGAAAAAGAATTTTACTTCTTATGTCTTGCCAAATGAAGTTGTTTACCTATATCAGCAGTTTCTTTCACCATGCATTTTATTGTCCTTTCTGCCTTGATCATTTCATATAATGGTTTATCTCGTGCTTATTTTTCTTAAAAATTTAGGATAATTATTTGCCGGGGCTAGTTATGTTGTTCTCTTTTAAAGCTATCACAGGTGATGTAGTTATATAGTTGTGATAGTTTCCTACCAGGAAAGATCGATGCTTATATTTGTAATTTGTTTCTCATCCACATGTCATCTTCTTTTACTCTATTGTATCTCTAATTTATTTTCTCTGCCTTTTCCAGAATTGTTTTACCACCACTGGCTAGAATGAGATCATACAATAATATTCCACAGCCACATGCCATCTTATACTACTCTCAGAGAACATCTCAAGGGGGTCTTCTCATAGCTGAAGCCACTTTTGTTTCTGAAACAGATCAAGGGTAATTTTAAGAAGAGTAGCTTTCCATTTTCTTCATTTCAAAAATGTTGGATGACATCTCTGTTTTAATTTCTGAAGGTATCCAGATATGCCTGGTTTATGGACAAGGGAGCAAGTTGAAGCGTGGAAACCGATTGTTGATGCTGTTCATGCTAAAGGCGGTGTCTTCTTCTGTCAGATTATGCATCCAGGGAGGGTTTCAAATAGCGGTGCGTTTCGTCTTTCACCTTTATGACTTCACTTCTATAATAGAAAGACTTATGAGCAATTAGACCATTGAAGCATCAGGAAGCTGATTTTTCATGACCATAATGTACTGAGCTCAGATTGTGATTCTGTTTCTGTCTCTGTATCCCTCTCTTTGCTTGCAGGTTTCCAGCCAAGGGGACAAACTCCAATCTCTTCTACTGACAAGCCACTAACCTCACAAATACTAACTAATGGCTTTGCTGTTGCTGTTGCTGTTGCTGAATATACACCTCCAAGACGATTAAGGACAGATGAGATTACACAAATTGTCAATGATTTTAGACTTGCTGCAAGGAATGCTATCGAAGCTGGTAAATATAAATGGAACATAATTCATAAGCCAAATGTAGCTATTAACGAAAAACACGCCAGATTGATTCTTGAATTGAATTGTGTTGGTTTAGAGTCTCATATTGTTTAATGTTTTAACTTTGTAATCATATGATTCAGTTTTGTCTAATTTTAACTTTGTAACATCTTCGCCAAATGGAAAATGCTTGGCTGATATATAGGCTTTGATGGGGTTGAAATTCATGGGGCACATGGCTACCTGATTGATCAGTTTATGAAAGACCAAGTGAATGATCGAACAGATGAATATGGTGGATCGCTGGAGAATCGTTGCCGGTTCCCCCTGGAAATCGTTGAAGCTGTTGCTAATGAGATAGGAGCAGATAAAGTTGGAATTAGATTATCTCCATTTGCCGACTATATGGAATCAGGGGATTCGAATCCGAAAGCATTAGGCCTTTATATGGCCAAATCCTTGAACAAATACGGGATCCTGTACTGCCATGTGGTTGAGCCAAGAATGAAGACAGTTGGAGACAAAAGTGAAACCCCTTACAGTCTTCTGCCCATGAGAGAAGCTTTCAAAGGCACCTTCATTGCTGCTGGTGGTTTTGACAGGGAAGATGGGAACAATGCTGTGGCAAAGGGCCATGCAGATCTTATTGCTTATGGACGTTGGTTCTTGGCTAATCCAGATTTGCCCAAGAGATTTGAACTTAATGCTCCTCTAAATAAGTACAACCGAGAGACATTCTATACATCTGATCCGGTTATTGGTTACACTGATTATCCATTTCTTGAAACTACTGCTTAAGTTTCCTACAGCCCAAGGAAGCTTGAACATACTTGGATCTTAATCTGCTTATTCGTATTGTTACCATTCTTCCACTATATGTATAAGTAGATAGAAAATAAAAGGTGAAAAAAAGTTGTCATTTCTTTTTTGGTGGAATGAAACTTGTCATTTGGTTTGGTATATTATGTTTCTGTGTTGGCTAATATTTGTATCGAGTGTTTCTGTGCGCGGCAGCCTCACCCAAAATTGTTCTCCTGTCAGTAAATGCCACTAGACCAGCTGATGAGAATAAAAGTAGATGAGGTCTAACATGTATTGTATTTAATTGCATCAAAGCTTCCTATAAATGTAGCTATTTGAACCCTACGATATAAAATGACATTTTAATTTCATGGTCTCATCCAATCCAATGTACCTAAAAAACCACGTACTCGGATGCCAAAGAATGAACATATGATACATGTTGAAGGTTATGAATACAAATTGCATATTGACAATTCCCACAAGTCGTTTTGATCTCAGCAATCCCTGAGGTCATGTTTCTGTGAGAGAATCAAATCCTAGAGTATCTACTGCGTTTTCTTTTCCGGCAGCACACTGACCTAGTTTCCTCAAGACACAGAAACAGTTGGCAAAAGTTTGTGCATCCATCAGTCCTCTGCATTTCTCCTGATTTTTTTCTTCAGTTTGTCTTGCTCCCGATATCTCTCTCGTCGTTCTTCTCTCTGGCGGTTTTTCGACAATTGCTCTTCTTTGGCTTTCTGCACTTCAATTTCTTTCCTTTTTTTTTCATCCTTTAGCTTGCGCTTCTTTATCTGCAAGAGCCAAAGTGAAGTTAAAATACTTTAAAAAATATTAGGGTGATGATAAGGGACACTCTCTGGCATAATATTGTCACACCATAAAATACCAGCTGTGTATGCGCTCTGGTGTAAGGGCAACACAACAAAAAAGACAAATAAGGTCCTCATAGAATGATTGCACTCTAGACTAGCCCTACAAGTTTTCTCCAGAATAAATATAAATTAAAATTGGTGTCACTCTCCAGAAAGAGTCTGAGGTTGGTCTCAAAGGTGTTTATGCAAGTTCCATGCGTCAAAACCCAAAAGCAATCCTCCCCCAATTTAAATTTACTGCGGCTATTCAAACAAACATTTCCAACCAGCAACCGATTGCCAAACAAAGTTAATTTGTAACCATAGAAAAAGTACTCTATCAAGATCTTGGAAGGTAAATTAATCTTTTTGGAGTGCCTCCACCAGTGTGGGGTCTCTCTAAGTGTGGCTGTGCATTAGTGTTACTTACCCAATTTGGCTCTCCAACAAATTTAACCATCAATTATGCACTTGGCACGATGGTTCAAACACAATAATTGTCTTAAGGTGCATACCTTCTCATTTCTAATTAATCGAAGATGTTGAACAAGAGCATGAACTTTCCGTTCATGAGGTTCCATGACAACAGCTCTTCTATTTTCAAGAAGTGGCCTTCCTCTACTGCGTATATCCTTAGGCTTTGAAGCAAATGGTAAAGCAGCCTGCAATGACTTAGGAATCACCAATGGGTTGAACTTCTTCAGCTTCCTTTCAATGGGCTGTTGACACAAGAACATGAAATTAAGTACCGTTGGATAACACAAAAAAA